TACGCTACTCACAAAATCAAAGGAGAGTTGAGATCCAAAAGAGAGAAAAAAAACAATGAGAGCAGCAGAAAGCGAGAAAAAAAAATGAGTCTCAGTTGATCGAGACTTGAGATCCGAGGAGAAAAAAAAATTAACCGGTCTCTGATACCATGTCAAAGAACCATATACGAAATTGATTCATTCAACTTATCCAACAGAGTTTACAAAGGCTGAATAAATAGATACAAAGAGAAGCCCTACAAATATACACCAAATCTCTAAGATATCAAAACATATCTCTACCAAAAATATAATATTCACAAAATCACACTAACATATGGACACTATACAAACAACTACAGGGAGCAGAAGGATGAGATCGAATGGGTAATAATGGTTGGTCACCTTAAGAAGTTTGTCATTAAGGGTAAAGAGAAAAGGGATGACCAAGAAGGATCTGAGAAGCGACGACAACAGGAAGAGCCTCTTGCCAGATTACGATGACTATTTGATCTTTGTTCAGGTCGCGATGACCATTTAATCATGTTGATGAGCGCAGTTCCTCTAGGTCACTATGACCACCTTTGCGGGGTCTCATTGTGCTCTTTATTAGATCGCAAGATCAAGTCTCGATGATTTTGTTAAGTCGTGGTATCACTTAGTCCGTGATGTCCTGAAGTCGTCATATCCCTTGGGTCGCGATAACTCTTTTGTTAGGTCGCAATGATCTTCAGCTCCTGTTTTGTGAGGTTGAGATAACTTCTAGCAGGTTGAGATGACCTCTAGAGATGAGCTCTAGCTCCTCATTTGTCAAGTCGAGATGACCTCTAGCACCTCCTCTGTCAAGTCGAGATGAGCTCTAGCTCCTCTTTTGTTAGGTTGAGATTACCTCTAGCACCTCCTCTGTCAAATCGAGATGACCTCTAGCAGGTCGAGGTGCTCTAGCTCCTCCTTTGTCAGATTGAGATGACCTCTAGCACCTCCTCTATCAAGTCGAGATTAGCTCTAGCTCCTCTCTTGTTAGGTCGAGATGATCTCTAGCACCTCTTCTGTCAAATCGAGATGAGCTCTAGCTCCTCTCTTGTTAGTTCGAGATGACCTCTAGCAGGTTGAGATGACCTCTACCACCTCCTCGCTATCTATTCTTTCACATTTTCTTTTTATCTTCATACTAGGTCCTCGCCCAACCCAGCTTGTCAGTTGTTCAAAGTTGAAATCAGCGAGCAATTTTAGGCAGCGTAAAGCAGTTTTTACTTAGATTTTTTTTTTTGTTTAAACTCACGA